GCGGAGAAGTGTGTTAATAATTGGAAAAGCATATTTGTCGCATTTACCAAGAACTTCTGCTGCTGATTTTGGGAATGGCTTTTCGCTTTATAGTCTCATTCCAAATTGATACCGTCTTTTTCTAAGAAAAGTTCGTATCGTTTTCCAAGCTATTTTACGCGTTCGATAGCATTATTTTTTTCGTCAGGCGTATTATATTCCCCAATTTTAGATGGAAGTAATAAGTTCAAATCAAAAATGTTTAATATCTCTTTCGCCAATCTTTCACGGAGATCGAGGAAAATATTATCCTATAGCGGTATAAATATTGCTTTTCGATAATAATCTTCACAGTTGAAAGTGAAATTTCCTAGATACGTGCACCGCGGAAATAGACAAAAAGTAGTATCAGAAAGCTCGATTTGATATGCATACATACACATTGTTTTAATTTTTCACGTTGCCGAAGAGTTTTACACGATTTCTTATTCTATAAATAATCTTGTGCAAGCTTAAAAACTGGTTACGATTGAAGATTAAAATAAAAAAAAACTTAATTTTTTTTTTTCAAATGAGGTAATATATTTAATATATTTATTTGTTTGTGTAACACTATTTTACACAAACAAAACAAATTAGAAATAATTACCGGACACCGAGTTATCGAATACCGAGCTCGGTGTGAAGAACCATATTGTTTCTTACATTTCATTTGATATCGAAATTCACAAAATATTGTTATTAGCGTAAACGAACATAGCGACACGGGATTTCTAAGAACGTTGCAAGAAGCATAGAAACAAAATTTCGATGAAAAAAATATATATTTTTTCTCGGGTTCAAAACTCTCTTATCTTTTAAGTTGGAACCAACAATACACACCCACAAAATTTCATCATTGAAATCGGTTAAGCGGTTTCGGAGATTAACGCAAACGAACACAGTGACACGGGATTTTTATATATGTATTAAGATGAAGGCTGGCCAAATGGCAGCTTTGCTTGTTTGTTTGAAACCGTTTTGTAGGCTTTTGACAAAGCGTTATGCTCCCATTCTAAATGAATCTAAACAAACTGCTGCAAACTGTTCAAACAAAAATTTGCTTATTTAATTTAAATAAATTTGTTGAAAATACAAGCAATTCGAAATGAAATAATCATGGTACGTTGTTTCCATATTTATGTATGTATGTATATTTAACATATCGCTAGCTTATGTAGATTAAAAAGATTCAAAGTTCACTTTTACAAACTTTACACGAGTTAAAAAAAAACTCCTTATATCCCTTTTCTTCAATTAAATCGTTTTTATTTGTGTTATATTATTTTTAAGTAAATGTACATATTTACATATTTTTATTTTACAGGAGAAGCGAAAAACATTATAAAAGGAGTGTCAAAAAAAAAAAAATAATTTAAAATTTTAATTGAGGGTGTATTTTAAGACATCCTTCCAAAATACATATGAGAAAAACGCAGTTTCGAAAAAAGTGTTCGTTAGTGTCTCTACGAATTAAAGTAACGGTATTCATATCTATCTATGGTATCATGATTACCATTTCATTGAAATGCAAACATCAGTTCGCATTCATGTAAAGATAAATCTAAAAAGATTGAGTTGTATTATTTAAATTTTTTTATTAATATTCTTGAGTTTTCTAGGAAAATAATTCTTAATCTTAAGGGAGCAGGCCTTGACTTTTCAACCACACAGCTGGTTACTTTGACAGCATACCCAGCCGCCATTTGGTCAAGGAAAGTTTTCAAAGTAAATCAAACCAAATTAAAGTAAGCAAGGCGTGCAAAGCAAGCCTGCATTGGGCCACCGCCTTAAGAGTCTTATTTAACAAAAAAAAAATATATATATAAACCAGGAAATAAAAAAAAGTGACATTCAGGAAATTTCGGAGGGACAGTATTATAAGAGAAAGCTACGCTTATGTTGATAAATTTTTTTAGGCGAAAATAGAGAATAACAATAAAAGTTACGGTGGTCATTTACAAACAGTTACGCCTTTTTTCATTGTTTCTTTACTCAAACTTTTTATCAGGTTGATTATCGCGAAAGTTCTATGTGGACCGGCCTTTAATGTTAGGAGGTAATTGATTTTTTTTATGTACACCAAAGATACAACATATCGAGCTCAACCTGCAGAATTCTTGAATCTCTTGCGTTTCTTATAACATAGTAGATTTTTAAATCATCAGCATACAATATGTCTTATGTCATTCATAAATAGAATAAAATACAACGGAACAAGTATGCCACCCTACGGGATACTAGAGGTTGGCACAAATGCATTTGAAGAAATATCATCAAGAACGACATAACCTTGTCTACCACACAAGTAAGATTTAATCCATTGTAGAAAAACAGAGTGAAAGCCCAGATTGAAAAGTTTAATTCACCGAATTTTATGTGAGAATCTGTTAAAGGCTTTAGAAAAATCCGTATAGATTGTATCAACCTGACATCGCATTTGAAAGGTGGCAAAACAATCATCAGAGAATATCGCGAGATTGGTTAAAGTTGATATTTACCGTTACAAAACCATATTGATTGATGGAAATTGACTGCCTGTACATTTGCAAATATATGTAAACTTTTTGTTGCCCTAATTATTACGAATAGTCGTGAAAAAATTTTGAAATTTCTATCAAAAAATTACAAATACAACCAATTAGAGAGCAAGCGTGCGAATAAAGATAGGCAAAGTGTTTACACTTTGTTGCGACGATAAAAATGTGCAGATCTGTTTTTTGTTTTTATTTGGTTGCCATAAGAGTGCTGTGATTACAGTCACATGCCCCCGCCCCCCCCATACAAATGTATAAAATTGGTACTAATAAAGCGTTAACGATAACAGGATGAAAATCTGAAAAGTTATAACAATAACAACATTGCTATACGTATGTACGTATGTACATAGGACCCTTCACCTCTGAAATAACGACACAACTAAGAATTTATTATTTTTCAAGCATATTTTTTAATTTTCATAATTCAGGAAAACTATGATTTGGAACATAATTATTGTGGATAATTTGCAGTCATTGTGTGGGGGTATTTGTAAGCTTTCACATTATGATTGCTTATTATATATAAATACGTCGATTTACCACAAAAAATATGATTATTTATCAACCTAATCCCCTATACAACTCAAAACAATAAATTTTTAAATTGTGTCACTATTGCATAGGACAATCGATGTATATGTACTCGCCTAATAATAAAAGCAGACGAAAACAAGTAAGAAAGTCTAAGTTCGGGCGGAGCCGAACATTAAATACCCGGCGCAAGTATTAAATATGTTTTTTCACCTTTCCGAAACCTTCCGCTAGATGGTAAGCCGGGGTGTATCAATTTTGAGTAAATTAGCGTCCTTCAATTTCGAAATATTGAAGTTTCAAGCATTTCTGAAATTTACCGTTATATGAGAAGCGGCCGTTATTTTAGTCCGATTTCAATAATTTTCAACGTTTTGCTTATATGTGGCAAGCACAATAACCACACCGAGTTTGGTACAAATTGGTAGAACGGATACCGATATACATATATGTGATCATAAGTGGGCGGTGCCATGCCCATTTTCCAAAATTTTACCATAAACGTATTTCTTGGTAAAGAATTGTTGCAAGTATCAATTTTGAATAAATTAGCTTCAATATTTACTGATTTATCGAAGATTTTGTATTTCTCTAAATTACCGTTATATGGGAAGTGGGCGTGGTTAAAGTCCGATTTCGCCCATTTTCAATACCAACCTACCTTGGATTAAGGGAAACCTACATACCAAATTTCGTTAAGATATCTCAATTTTTGCTCGAGTTATCGTGTACACGGACAGACGGACAGACGGACGGACGGACGGACAGACAGACATGGCTTAATCGATTTCTTTTTTCATCCTGATCATTTATGTATACATTTGTCTATATCTATCTCGATTCGTTTTGGCTGTTACAAACAACCGTTATGTGAACAAAATTAATATACCCTTGTGCACAAGTGCGCTCGGGTATAAAAAATCGATTACAATCACAGTACCAATGTAACACATGACTCTGGCAGACTTTTAGAGCGAGAGCTTTAGAACGCACGTGTGCTCAATAATAGAATAGATTTTACAGACATATGCAGTATGTATGTACATACATATGTACAAAAGTATACTTTTGCATTGTTATGTAGTGGAACTTTTTTTGGAGTTTTGCTTTAACTCTAATCATTAAGGAAAAATTAAATTAACTGTACAAAAAAAAAAAAATTAAACATTCTGAACTGTACAACAGTGCTGAAAATGAAAGTTTGAAATTTTTTTTTTCAAATTCGATTCCGAATCTGATTGTTAGCAATTTTTCAGAGGCTCGTCTAAGGTATTTACAGCTTTTATGTGTTTTCGTAAGAATTTTGGAAATCCTAAAAATATGGTTACGTTTTTCCTTTATTTACTCGACGACTTCCTTTTCCCTTTGGATTAGTTCAATGGATTATTAGAATCCAAATGGATTAGAGAAAAAATAACAGCGGTTTATTATAGTTTTCGGGGCTGATTTTAAAAATTGGAGCATCCATTATGGCCTACTAAACTTACATTTGTCTATATTCAAAACTTAAATCAGAAAAAGTACGAAAACTGATTTTTTTTTGGTTTAAATTAATTTTTCTTAAAATATACTTACATCTGTACAAATAAGTATTAGAAAAAGGAAGTACATACTCGTTATTAGCTTTACAATAAATCTAAGATTATAAAAATAAGCGAAAATGTATGGTTTTTGTAAGCATAATTTACGTATTACATATAAGATATAACCTCAAAACCCGATAGAAAATAATTCGACGTGACCCAAAGAAAATGAAGACACCAAGGCTCCCTTAGGCCAAAGCACACCAGTTACACTTAAAACCTTTTGAATTCATTTTTAAAGTGGAAAAAGCTTTTATTAAACTTTTTTGGTTATTTTTATTTGCTCAAGTAAATAGTTAAATAATTATGCCCCATATAGCTGGTAAATAGCACAACATATGGTGGCCGTATGACAAATAAATTCTCCGTAGTTATGCACTAAAGCGTTAAGTAGACCGTAGTGTATCATTTGCATACTCGAAATTTTCCATCGCTTCTTACTCCCAAAAATTTCTTATCTTGCATACATTGTTCGTATAATTGCAAAGAACTTATAGGATAACTGCAATAACTGAAATATAGTGGAAAAGGAGAAAAAAAAATTCAAATTTTTTGCAACACCAAAATTTTGGTAATAAAATTATTAAAACGTTACCGAAATAATCTGAATACTTTGGAAAACTTTTTCATATTAGAAATAATATTTTGAAAATGTCCGCAAACACTTATAAAATTAATTCAAATTATAATACTTACATCAGTTAAAGTCCCCATGGAGACATTTACAAAGCTGGTGGCTCTTAGCGTAGCTGACTTTTGTGCGCGTTGTATAATTATGGTCAACATTTTTTTGTAGCGAATATTGGCGGCTAGCCAGTTATGATTATAAACCGCGTGACCTACGTTTTCGCTCTTTTGAAGAATGTAAACCAAAATGTAAAAATTCACTTCATATACATATGTATATACATAAATATAAAAATTTCAAACATTTACTGTATATTAGGGCGGTCCAGAAATGCAAGTGAAAAAAGTAAAGGCCGAATTTTATTACTCTCACCCCCTAGGATTGTTCTATATCGAAAAAATTAGCGCTGCTTTTGTTTCGAGAACAAAAAATATTTAGAGGTCGCTCAAAACGCTTAAAGTTTTACATTAATTTAATGATTCGTAGAAATGGTAAAGAATTCTTTATAATCAATATTTTTCCATTGGAAAGTGGGGCGCATAAACAATCGTTAGTATTAGAAATATTATAAAGTATTATAAAATAAATAATTAGGTATTTTTGTTAGAATTATCGTAAAGAGAAGCAAAGTTTTCCGATCAACAAATACTGATTTGTAAGAATTCTATACTATTTCTACCAAAAAATGCTTTTGCCTTCAAATTTCAGCGATCTTATGCAATGTTTAAACAGAAAAAACTGTGTATGATGTGTGTCATTACGAAACAAAGCAGCAAAATTTTAACTCCGAGATCATCGAATACTTTCACCCAGCACAGGCCAGACTAAGGCGTCGGTTGTCTGCAACTTTTATTAGCGGATGTAAACATAACGAATGCCAGGGAACTACAAAGCTCAGTTAAAAAATAATAATTGGTTGAATTTATTGTTAAATGGTCGGCATTTACATGGAACCAATTAAACTGTATCGCTAAGGGGCAGACGTTTGCTTAACTGTGCTATCAAATGCGAATTCAATGGAGGCAGCCACTATAACATAACCAAAACTAACCCAACTATAAGCGCTGTACTAAAGCTCGTGCGTTATAGTTACATTGGTATAGCTGCAAATCAGTGTTGCCAGGTTGAATTTGGTCGTCATTTGGAAGATTTTTAATGGTCTTGACGATTTGACGATTTCGACAAGCAAATGACGATTTTTTCTTTGTGTGCAGTTTTTTATTGCCAGTTGTTTTAGGGGTGATTTTTCGATTATTTTTTACTTTTCCAGAAATTTATTGTGCTTTTAAAAGATTTTTATATACATACATACATGCATATGTTTTCTAAAAGTAGATACCAAAATTATAATTTCAGGTCTTTATTTTCAATTCTAAGGTTTTTTGGGAAAGGGCTTCTTCACCATATATGTACGTACATATATACAATGACTAAAAAATTTCACTAATAAAGTTCGCTTAGGTTTTAAGGCAATTTTCTAATTTAAAAAGTTCGATACAAAAATCGCGTATTTACCAAAGTACCTCCAACACACAGGGGTCAAAGAAAAATTTTTAGCACGAAATTTTGTTATCAGCTTAGTTCATTAAATAATATGTATGTTATTTATCTAAATGCATTTAAATATATTTTTGTTATAAGTAATGTGAATTTTAGTAATTCGTAAAAGGTTTTTAGACATATTTTTTTCCCCATTATAAACCGGTTCCCTAATTTTTTTTCGGACACGGTTTATTTTGGTGTTTTGTGTGTTGTGACGATTTTTAAGACAATGGAAGATTTTTGAGAACCATTTTGACGATTTCTATGTTCAACTACCCGGTAATACTGCTGAAAATTTAACTGACGCGTTTCAACATTTCTTCTGCCTGATGACTGCAGTGTCTTTAAGTAGGAGAATATAGAGAAGATTGCTTGTCTCATCTCTGCCACTACACATATTCGTTGACGTTGAAAGTATGTACATATTAGGAACCAAGGAAGTGAAGGCAAAATTGTTAGAGAATATCGCGCATGTGGTTCTTGTTTTAACAGCACAAAAACTACCTAAAGAGTTTCTGGGCATAATGTTGGAGTCGTAGACTGACAGGTATAAATCGCGGTCATTCCTGTTGTTTATTATATACTCCCACTTCGTTTCAATGGTATCAGAACAAACAATGAATTTACTTATCTAAGTCTGCATAAATATACGAGTACAAACAGCCTTCCCAATCTGACCTAACCTATTTAGAGAATTATGTCATCTTAGGTGTAGTCCATAAATCGCAGTCATTGTGCTGTTTGTAGTCATAGTTATTCGAGCCTTTTATCCAGAACATTTTAAGACTAAAAGACCCGTACTTACATACAATCACTTACCGTAGTTATGAGCTCCTGTCCATACCAACAAATCATATAAATTTGAATTAACGAGCAATTTATATAGCTAATCAGCATTATCATTGCACCCAAGGGCACGCCGACAGTAAATTGAAAAGCCAGAAAACAAATGACAAAAGAAATCGAAATGAAGTTGATGAGCATTGGTAAACCAAATATTTCATTTATAAGCTGGCAAAGGCTGCAATTGGGGTAAGTAAAAATATAAAAAAAAAATTTTATTAAAAAGTATGAAAGTATATATGTATGTACATGCTCTAACTCACTCTAGCGTATGGTAATGTTGCGAAACAATGGCGCACAAGAATTTCAAATCCTTGCTGACACTACTCCACTCACTTTCAACACTAGGCTCATATTGCTCGATATTACGCGACAACTGCCGAAAATGCATTATCAATTGAACTGCTGCAGCACACAACAACAAATCCGTGGCAACATAAGATGCCAAGCAATTGTGAGTTGCAAGCGCTTGCGATACATAAAGCGGATAATAAAGCCAATTGTTGCGCCACTCAAAGGGTACCCAGACGTAATAGGGCAACGTTGGTTGCCAGGTGCCACGCTGTAGCCATTGCTCGAAAATTAAATAATTTAGCAAAGGCAAGAAATTGTAGCACCAAGCTGTGAAGCCAATTGTGAGAACATAGGCGAAAGTTATGCGTTGGTAGTGATCGAGATGTTGCTGTAGCTCGTACTGCGGCTGATCCACCGTTAGCTTCGGATAGATGTCGTACAATTGTCGCATAAGCCAAGTGATGCGCACACGTTGCCGCTTATCATGCCAGGTTTTAAAAACTGCCACAAAAACGAAGCCCAGGAAAGTTAAATTTTTGGCTGCCTGCATGAAATCTGCATTCTCCAAAAAGTTCACAACAACGAATGCGGCTTCTGTCAGTAGCACGAAATTCATGTTGATAAGAATGATTAGGGAGAAAAATTGGCTGAGATAATGACGTAATGCGCGTGTTAAGTTAGCAGCAATGCTTTCCTGCACAGCCGATTTCTCCGCTGCGGCATCATATACATCATCGTAGGGCTCAATTCCATTTGAGTTGTACCAGAAATTGGCCTTTCTAATGAAAGCACTAAAAGTGATTATGTTCGATGGCATTCTCGCCGAGCAATGTGTGACCACGACAGAATAATCGAGTATAAATAGGTGAAAGGGTAGACAGGCGCATAAATAACTCTTTCGGCTATAACACTATGCAACATAGTTGAAATTTTTAACCCTTAGGAAAAAAATGTTTCAGTAAGCGCATTCGAATGAAGTAAATATTGATTAATTTCGGAATGGTAGCGCGCCCTGCTAACCACCGCACCAATGCGGCCACCCCAAAAGGAAATTAGGGAACAAAATTTTGAAACTTAAAAAAAATCATTGTAGAAAATACTTTAAAAAAATAAAGAAAATAAACTATTAAAAAGAAAATTTTTAGAACTTTGTAAAAAAGAAAAAAAGAAACGTTAAAAATTATCTTAAAAAATTAAAAAAAAAAATAAAGTTATGAAGAATTTATAAAAATGTAAATTATTTAAAAGAAAAAGTTATTAAAATTTTTGAAAAAGGCAATAAAGACTGTAATCGAAAAAACTTTAAAAAAGTAAATACAAGAGTAATTATAAAAGAAAGTTGTGGAAAGAAGTTTTAAGAAAACTTCTAAACTGAAAAATTTTAAGAAAACTTTAAAACTGAAACTGAAATTAAAACTGAAATTAACAAAAAATAAAAAAGTAAGGTGTTAAAATGAAAGAGCTTTTAAAATTTTGAAAAAGGGTAGCAAAGAATGTAATAGAAAAAGTTTTAAGGTAAAACGTGCAGAAAATTATTATAAAACTAACAACTAAGAAGCTATAAAAATTATTTTTTTTCTAAAAAGAACTTCAAGAAAAATTATACAAAGTGTACGTCCGTCTAAAATACTGGAAGCGTACTTTTCGGCTATTACAACCTGATCGACTTGGCTTATGATTTTCCGTACCAGAGGGAGCCATGTACGAATGTTGGGTAAGCTCGTAGTAGCGCCCTAAACACTTTGGTAAGAGATTTTTAAATATGTCGTTCTTCGCTTCTGTCGTGGGTCAAATGAAAAGATGGTAAATAAGTCAGTGTTGATGCTGATTGCGACGAGACGATTGTTCTCCGGTTTTATATTTGTTTTCAGGGAAAGTTGGCTGTACACGGCGCTACCTGAAACCAGCGCTCAACCAGAAACTAGCGCAATTTCAGCTGATTTAAGGTTTATATGGCGTGACTAGCAGCGCTCCGAGACAGACACCCGGTTGCAGCTGCACCTCCATCAGTGGAGCCTTAAACCGAGTACGTTGCAGTCGCCTCATTAAGGCGCCATCCATTTTCGGCACACGCCTTGGTTACATATTTCATTTGTAGACTAGTGTAATAAAAGGTTAGATTGTTACAGCATTTTTTGTAATTATTATTATTTTTTTTGTAGTCAAATATTTGATTACTTGATTACATGCTACAAATTAATAACTGCAATTGATTTTGAAGTAGGTATGTACATACATACATATGTTGGTATGTGTAAGAGATTATTCAATGTGAGCAAGTAATTGAGTGGGCGTTTAAAAAATTGAGGATGCCGTCTAATGATATATCTTTGCCTGTGCGTGAATGCACTGACTACGCTAATTGAATTGAATTGCTTAAAGGACTATAACTAATTAAGTATAAATCAATTTAAGGTATATATGTACAATATACATTTGTAGGCAAGGGCGTAGTCAGGGGAGAGTGGCGGGGGGACGTATAATGCTTGTTAATTTTTGAAGTGAAACTTCTTTAGTGGCGGTTGGTTGGTTAGGAGTAAATTGGCAAATTCAACGGAATTTGCACTCGGAAAATGTTTCTTGAGTGTATGCGTGTGGTATTCATTTATCAAAAACTTGCTAATAAAAGGTTAAAAAGTAACACTTAAAAAAGACCAATACAACAACGAAAGTAAAGGTTCGTACGTACATAGATTAAGAAAATGATAAAGGCAAAGGTAACAAGTAAGTAAGTCTAAGTTCGGGCGGAGCCGAACATTAAATACCCGGCGCAAATATTAAATATATGTTTTTTATCTTTCCGAAAGCTACCGCTACATGATAAGCCGGGTGTATACATTTTAAGTAAATTAGCGTCCTTAAATTTCGAAATATTGAAATTTCAAGCATTTCTGAAATTTACCGTTATATGAAAAGCCGTAAATTTAGTCCGATTTCAATAATTTTCAAAGTTTTGCCTTTATATGGCAAGCACAATAACCATACCGAGTTTGGTACAAATTGGTAGAACGGTTACCGAGATACATATATGTATGTGATCATAAGTGGGCGGTGCCACGCCCATTTTCCGAAATTTTATCATAAATGTATTTCTTGGTAAGGAATTGTTGCAGGCATCAATTTTTGATAAATTATCTTCAATATTTACTAATTTATCGAAGATTTCGTATTTCTCTATATTATCGTTATATGGGGTGTGGGCGTGGTTATTGTCCGATTTTAAAAATTTTCAATTTCAAAATTTCATTTTCAAAAAATTTATAATATTCTTATTTTTCGTTCAAAATTAATTGTAAATATCAAATTTGAGTGAATAATCTTCAGCAGTTACTAAAATATCGCAGTTTTCGTATTTCTGAAAATTTCCGTTATATGGGAGGTAGGCGTGGTTATTGTCCGATTTAGCCCATTTTTAATATGAATTGAAATGACTGAATTTCAACCGCTGGCTAGTATTCCTTAAAGTGAAAGAATTTTTCTATTACACCCACTTGATGTTAAGCGGATTCAGTGGAGATAAAAATCTATCGATGGTTGGACCATTCGATATTTTCGACAGTATTGGGCCTCACCAGTCGATGGTATCGATACTGTCGGTAAGAGAAAAAATTTGGGATCCTCACTAAGGTAAATTAGTAGAAAAATAATGAATGTTAGTTTTAAACACCCTTTTAGCGTGCATTTCTTAAAATAACAAAATAAGTTATTTTAAGTAACACAAATCTAAATCTGGCTAATATTGTTTTTTTTTTTTTTTAATTTAATGTTCATAATTTTTTATGAAAGTATAGTGCGTTATCAATCGAAAACTAAGCAAGTCCCAATTTCAAATATTTTACGAAAATTAGAAGTTTTCGAGTCATCAAAATTTCGTGTTTTTTAATAAGAATTCTTTGAAAAGTTTTCAGTATGCGTTTTGTTAGTTCATTAAACTTAAGTAAAAAGTGCAAGTTTGAAGTAGCCAGGGCTTAATGTTGATTTTTGAAAATTTTTTTGTTGAAGGTGTTGCTTATTCTCTACATTAAAAAAAAATGGCGAATATATTTACTTGGTATATGTTTACATGATCGCACGGATTTTACAGTTCTCCGGCTTTTTGGAATGCTACAAAGAGTTAAATCTAGTAGCCTTGAAAATAATCTCTAGTAATAGTACTATTTCTGCCGTCACTCCCTGAAGCATTGCTGGAATTATACCGACTGGTCCTGGGTATTTGAAGGGACAGAAGCTATGTATGTATATATTAGTGTTGGGAAGGATCGATTACTTTTGAGGATCGAGTTCCTTAGTAGAGATATTTTTACTCAGTAAAGATATTTTTAAAAATCGAGTTCTGTCGATCCTTTTGAGAATCGGGTTCTGAGTACTTTTGGTATCGATATTGCCTAAAACTACTTACTATATCGAGCCCTAACCGCCAAAATAACGTAAGCGACATTTTTTTCAAAATTTTCTTTTTGATGCCGAAATATTCCTAGAGCATCTAGATGCATTTCTGCATCAAAAAGAAAATTTTGAAAAAATGTCGCTTGAAAAATTTTGAAAAAAATGTCGCTTACGTTATTTTGGCGGTTAGGGCTCGATATATATAAGTACAATAAGTACGTGGGAACCCTGCAAACGATTTTTTCAAAGTATTCTGAAAGAAATTTTAAAGAATTCGTAAAGATCTCATCCGATTTTCCTAAAATGAAGTAAACTGTGCACACTTAGATTCTTTTACGAATTTCGGAGAAGCAATGAAAATAATGCTGCTATGTAAAGAATTTCTTGCAGAATTTTTTCAGAATTTTCTTTATTTTTCATATAGAAATTACTTTACGTGTTCGTGTCAACCCCTTCATATAATTTTCTTTGAAAATTCGTAAAAAAATCGATACAGAAATGAGATACTCCTAAAGATTTCGATAACATTTCGCGAACTTTGGTTTGCAGAGAAGTTTAGTGGAAAAATCTACTTTTGTAAATCGGTACAACGTTTTTAAACTACAACATTTTTTTCTTTGTACAAGTTTTATTATATTTTAAATTAATAGTTGGATTTACGACTACACTCTCTTTGAATTCCATTTAATTTTCAACATTCAACTTTCAGCCTTTCTTGGCTCTCTTGCATACATAGTACGAATGACGGCAAAGCCTTTATAGGATATTTGAAGAAGCTAAAATAAAAGGGGTTTGATTTTCATTTAAGCCACACAAAAACTCTATTTGGTACTCACATCCGTCATTGTAGGCATAGATACTATGACGAAAGAAGTAGCCCGTAATTTAGCTGCCTTTTGAGCGCGTTGCATTATGACAAGTAACATTTTTTTATAACGCAAATCTGCATCATACCAATTGTGATTGTAAACAGCACTGCCGATATATTCGCTCTAGAATAATAAAAAATGAGACAGAAGATCAAAATTCTTATATGTAGTCAAACTAAAACTATACCGCTTCCAGGAGACCATGTGCATAATAGCAGATGAGAAAGATTTGAACCAACGAACAGAAGAGAAAGAAAGCCAACATAATCAGCGAATCTACGGCAGCACCGATGGTGATTTGAAAGAGCACAAAGCAAATAATCAGCGATGTGGAGACGAAACTGATGAACAACGATATACCGAAAACATCATTCATTGCCTGGGAGAGTCTAAAATATAAGGGTTTAAAATTCTGCATAGAATAAGTACGAATCTAATGCGAGCAGATATATACTTCAAAATCTGCTGGTGATAGGCTATAATGCCGCGGAGAAACCGTAAATCCACCTCACTGCGCTCCAGACTGCTTATTCTTTGCCTTTCCCGCGTCGCGGTACCGTCGCCATTGCCAGCTATATGACTCTCTATGCGCTTGGCCAACTGGCGATAGTGCATAATGAGTTGCACAGCCACCGCACTCAGCAGCAAATCATTGGCCAATTGTCCGGAGAGACAAGTTTGCCCACCCACACATTGTGTCAAATACATTGGATAGTAAAGCCAATTATCGTGCCAATTAAATGGCGTCCAACAGTTATAGGGTATCGTTTTGCCTACGGTACGCACCTCTAGCCACAGCTCATAAATTAAATAGTTGAATAGCGGAAAGAGATTATAGCTCCAAACTAATAGTTCGTGCAACAAAACAAAAGCATATGCAAATCGATTGTAACACTTCAGCTGCCCCTTCACATCGTAGAACAACTGTTCACGCACCGAGATTGGATAGAGCGCGTAGAGATCTTGCATCATTGAGCTAATACGTGAATGCTGACGCCATATGCTGAAAATTTTTATATCGCCAACTATGACGAAGCCCACGAATGAAGATAGCATAGTTGCCTCAACAAAGTTATTGCCATTTGCGAAAGCCAAAAATATGAAAATAATCTCGCTCAACAAAGTTACATTCATATTGGCCATCGTAATGAAGAAAAATATGCGTTGCAATTGACGGCGCAGTTGTGCAAGTCTTCCCGTTCGTTGCTCGCCGATTTTCTCGTAGGCATCCAGGCCAATGCTGCTGTAGAATATATTGGCTAGATGGTTGAAGCTTTCAAAATGTATTGGTTCGTTAGGCATCGCGGATGATTGTTAATGCGCAGTAGAGTAACTGGCAGGTATTTATATGTCAGTGGGCACCTACTTATGTATATATATTAGGGTGACCAAGAAAAAAAAATAAAGTCGGAATTTTAATCTGCCCCTATCGAAAAAAATAGACCCTCATATCTTTATTTTGAAATCTAAAAATATTTAGAGGTCGCTCAGAGCACTCCAAGTTTTCCATGTATTTTGTATGGAAAAACACTTTTCGTAGAAATGCTATACCTATTATTCTTGAAAATCTAATTTTTCGACCAGAAAACTCTGCTTCTCTTCAGGAGACTTCCAGCAAAAAATCCCAATTGTTCTATTTAACAATTTTTTAATACTAAAGATTTTTTTATTGGTCCCCTCATAGCATTTTCTGGCCTATAAAATATAGTTACGTGAAAAAATTGCTCAATAAAAAATTGGGTATTGCTTATTATTGCGAATCTCCTGAAGAGAAAATGATTGATTTTCAAGAATTCTATACAATTTCTATGAAAAGTTTTTTTCCCATATAAAGTACATGGAATACTGTGAGCGCTTTGAGCGACCTCTATGTAAATATCATTTTATTTCAAAATAAAAAATAAGGGTAAATTTTTCCATATAGAACAATCCTAAGGGTGAGAGCATACGAATTCCGACTTTACTTTTTCACATGCATTTTTGGACCACCCTCTAGTATAGTTCATATGTATGAACTTGCACCCATATTAAGGAATTAAGGAAATGCGTTCACGTTGTATAATTGCTGTTATAAGCGGCTAATTGGTTCGCTTACACATTGAAAAATATTCGAGAATATTTCATGAAATACTTATTTTGATTGTAAGAGTAATTATTTACATAAATGCTGCAACTGAAAATAAAATGATGAATTAATATACATACGCTCTTGTAAGTTACATTACTTTTTAAAAAATTAAAAAAAAAAGTTCGAGTAGCTCTATGTGGTTCGCGAAAAACAAACAATTTTAAGTCAGAGTTCGTATCGAATATGCCAATTTTCGAGCAGACTCTCCAATATTTGGTGACAAAATTTCAGAGCAACGGTTTGATAAACAATCAGCCCTACATCAAAGGCTCGTCAGATCATTCTCGACCGATCGCCGCAATACTTGAAAGTGTGTAGGAAAACCCGACGTAGTCAAACCAAATAACGTAAATAACAAGAAGGGACAACTCGTTATAATAGTGGCGAATTGTGAACGGAATTCGTTGTGAGTAGGTGACCACTTACCCCGACTCCCGGCCTAGGAATGCTGTGATAGGAGTCCAATCGCCACCGTGTGAGAAATGAAGCTTCTACTATCAAGAGCGATCCGCGTTACCCTAGCCCAGTTACGGTCGGGATACTGCCACACCAGCTACCTGTAAAGACTCGACCCCAATATCCCCAATGAGAGTCCGACACGTGGAAACTGCCCGCATGACACCAACCCCATACGCGAGATTTAGCAGTGCAAGCTACAACAACAACAACAACAACAGCAGCTACTGAGGATGAACAAATTACTGAAGATGAAGAGTGTACTGTTGTACAAGTGTTGGAGTGAACTAAGAACGTAGTTTGCCTGTTCGGTAGTCAGACTGATAGCGCTCTTGGTAGTCTCACTGATATTTGATTACCCAATAGGTACGAAGCCTTGGGTTTGTGTGCAGTGTGTCAATGGCTTTACGGCTGCGGAGGCCATATTTAGATGAAATTGTCCTTGTTACTATCAAAGGCTATTCCCTGATACTTTGTGTGGCCATTAAGGCTACCTAGACAGGATTGCAGTGCTGCTACCGGACTGCTTAAGTGGCATATCCGGGTGGCTGCACATGGATATCATTACCGTGCACAGGTGCAGGAATTGTCGATAGCGGGGAGAGCATCTTCTATCATTATCATGCTTGGGGGCCTCTCATTTCAAAAAGTTAAAAGACATCGTAGAAGTAGAGCTGAAATCACGACACGAAATTCGTTAAAAAACTTTAGGACCTACCTGTCTATTTATGGCTCACTTTCCGTCGAGGTACATCCATTGTAACCTAAATATTACCCAAACTAACCTCACTGATTGGCGTGTTTAGTAGACAATTTACATAATTTTTTAACAGTGTATGCAACCGTAATTAGCTTTCTAAAGTGATGAAAGTAATGTGTATAAGAGAATGAGAACTTTTTAATAGAGTTACATAATTAAGCAATTAATAGACACGCATGGCCAATTTTCTTTTATACCGATTTTGTATTAACATTTTTGGTCAACATTTTTAATATCATCGCACTCGTCTATTGAAGACAAATTTATAGCCTACATGGTTGATCTTCGGCGATAACCAAGCTGCACCGCTATCCTACTGTTTAAACGGCGCACATTATATACAACGCAGCCAGCGTGAAAAGACCCTTTTCGATTGCCTCAATACAAAGCGAATTTATACACGGTGGTGTTACCGCCGAAATTAGATTTTCGCTGCGGTTGTACTGATTGTCAAAATGGTATGTTTGTTGTAAATTGTTAAATATTGATTCGCCTTGTTTACGAAAAACATGCTTCAGACTTCAGTGGAGCCTAAAGCCGTATATCTTGGAGTGGCTGAAGCTCTTGACCCAAGGCTCCAAATGAGTAGGTGCATGCATCTTGCGCATGGATTGATAACGTTGTTTAAGGCAATGCGACGAAGACTCGAAGAGAAAAGTCAAAGTTTATTATAAGTAGATTTTTATCTGTACGAAAGGATTGCCGGCTGATTATGTCGAAATCCACAGCAGCCATACTGCCTAAATTCACTTATCCCTTATCCACCAGGAAATTATCAATTCAGACTCTTCAATTAACCTACACACAAGTTTATTCCTACGACATGTCTTTTTTAATTTTTGCGCCTGAAAATGTTGCAAATGTTGCATTTTGCTCGACATGAAACTTTTAGTATGCAAAATGTGGCATTGTTCACAACATGCAAATACTGACAAATAAAACAGATGTCATAACAATGCCGAGTGACAGAACAAAAATCGCAGCAAACAACCCATCGAGCAGCACATCGAGAACATTCGTAGAGATGAGTGCTGCAAGAGCGCGCAAAGGCGCAGCTGGGCAGGCAGCAGTCACTGGGCCCCTCAACCTGAACCACCACAACTTTGTTTGGGACCAAAATGGGGCGCGCGCCATTGCACAAAATCTCAAAGCATGCGCACATATTTGTAAGTGCCAAAACATTTCGCATTTGTTGCAACATGCGCGCCAATGCTTGCAGCAGACTGGTTGCAACATGTGAATTCGCACATTTGCACAGGGCTGAGGAATTTGTAAACTAACAGAAAATTGCTTGTTGCAAAACATGTTAGTGGCAGCAGTGCAACGATTGCAATGCAATAACAATTTCGTTGCAAAACAACATGAACGGACATTTGCAAACGCTGGGGTATGCGTTGCATGAGTATCTGGCTGCGGCGGCGCTCTTGATTAAGAATTGAAGTACCGTGGCAAAGTAGCGGCGCGTAGGTAATTTGCTTGCATTCGTGCAACATGGACTACTTACTACTAGTTGCACGTTGTGGCAGGTGATTGGGTGCATACGAACAGATATATGTACATACATACATATATGCAGGTATATGCGTAAATAGGTGTGTCATAGCGCGTGGCCACACAGCCCCAATGACCCGCTGCTGCTAGCGGCAACTACCACAAAATGTTGCAACAGCTCCCTTGGCGCTAGCTGCTGCTCACAAGCGTGTACATATGTATATGTGTTTTGTATATGTAAATGAACGCTGGTGTACATATGTATCTACTTACCTACAGCATGCATTGCTATCGTTGCTTGTCATAAACGAAATATTCGAGAGCGGCGCCCAGTGTACCGTTTGCTTAGTAACTACATGCCACATACCTATTAACGATGTTGTTGTTAGTGTGCGGCACTTATAAACAAGTACATGTGCTATGTATTTGCATGTGTATATAGAAACATACATACATATGTGGCATGTGGCATGTTGCAAGTGCGTCAAGGACAATTTGCGCATTGTGGACAGCATGTCAATCATATGCCACATTTGCTGTATTAATGTTGCTGCCACATTTGCTGACTATTACACAATTTGTTGTTGTTATTGCGTATTTTCCTTGCCCCATTTTCGGGCAATGCCGAATACATGCACACACTCATATAAGAGTCAGCAGAAAACAACTATAATTTCTGTGTATATGTGAGTATGCATTTGTGTATATGTACATATGCATGTATATTAGGGTGATCATTAAATGTCAACCTCTTGGGCCACCTTTGTTTGTTCTACGTACAAAATAAAGAGAGCCACGAAAAAAAAAATAAATTTAAATCGCAAAAATTCGGAAAAATTTTGACTTTGAAAACCTACACAAATAAGTTTCGATAATATGGCAAATGTTTTAGATTTCAAGTCAAGCTGTTGTATAATTTTTGCGAAATTTAAAAAAATATATTTAAAGTTTTTCAAACCTAATAGCGAACCCCAAAAATTTGTTGCAGTTTTTTTGGTGTTGGCATTTTTAAGGACAACCCTAATGTATATGTGTGATTTAAAAGATTTTTTTTTTATACAGCTGCCACGTCGGTCGCTCAGGGAGTCGTGGCATTGTCGCCCAATGCCGGTGCGATCGCTTGTCGACAAGGCAATCGTTGTCACTGTGTTGCAACATATTGTGGCAAGCAGTGCTACGACCCTGCAGTGAAAAGCTAAACCAGTTAGAAAAAATACTAGTTCATTAACTAGTATATGCCTACCAGTTCGACAATTTCGCAGAACTTAAGCATTCAGCGACATCTGCCTTTGAATGGCCAAAGCCAAAAATAAAACTCAATTAATGGCGCCTCGTGAAGACTACTGATTCTGGTTCTGAGATCGCAGTTTCGAGGCCGCTTGGAGGTGGTTAAGATTTTTAAAGTTACATCAATGTAAGCAAAAATAATTATTTCAATTGAAATATAAATATTAAATATGAAAATCTAATTGCACGAAAAAAATACATATGGGAAGAAATGCTTGTGACATAAAAAAAGGAAATTTGAAAATATATAAATGTTAGAATTCTAGTTCACATCTAGTCGCTTTCCCTGCAGGGGAGTACTTATATATATGGGCAACAAAATATGGGCTTGTAATACATACAGTTGGCAGCGTGTGCGCGTATGCGAAATGTGTGTGTGTGTGTGCGGGAGCCTGAAAGCAGGCGAGCGCAGCGGATATGTAGCCAGCTTTGAAGAAATCGAATAAAGTCGAGTGAACCGTAAGAAGTTGGCAAATAACATGTGTACGTATTAAATTCGCACACAACAGCAACAACAACAACAACGAAAACAACGACCGCTGACATACCAACCAAATTGCAAGCAGTGTAACTTCAGTGCTGCCACAACGGAATAAGCAGAAAAAACTTATTGAAATTCCATTGTGCATTCACTGGCTTGTTGCATGCAACGCCAACGACAGCTGTGCTCCCAAAACGCATCTTCGTCGTCATGGTGGGCGAGGTCAACGCTTATTGCAAGTAGGACATTCATCAGCCCACTTAATGTACGGCGACGGAGGCGGATGGGCGGCTGTTGGTAGCTGCTTGCTGGTGTGGGAAATGAAGCGAATGCAGCGCGGCGTATTTAAAAATTTTCCATTATTTATTTATTACTTGCAAAGTAAACAAACAAAGAAACACAAGTGAATCAAGAAGATGCAGTTAAAAGCGAAATAAAATCAATACAAAGGAGAATACGCGGAAAGAATGTGTTAATGCAAGCGATGTGTTGCTGCAAGCTGACTTACTTAATTCGACTGCTGCAGAGTGAGTGGGCGCAAGCGTGGTAGCGCGGTAATTTCATTTATTTCCGCAACTGCTGCATATATGTATGTATAGGGTTTGACAATTCTGCGCGTGCTGTCGCAGAACGTGCGAGTGAATACTGTTTCAGCTTACATAAATGACTGGGCGTGACGCCCGAAATGAGTTGCCCTCTAGTAAGACGCTGAACTGGGTACTTGGACTTGATTTATCATTTCATGTGTAAATTTAGGGAGATCAGAAATCATCCGTTGAGTTACATACATATATCAAGCACATTGGGTGGGGAAAACATAGCAGAGCTGCTCAACTTCCACTTCATTCGCTCTGACACAGTCAAGAGAACATTCCACTAAGATCAAACTAGAGAGCAAAATGACCTTGAACTAAATGAATACAGCTTTCTGGCGCACACCCATAGATGGTACACAGTTGATTCAAAAGCTACCAAATGTATCGTATATTTTTTAATTTAATTTAATTTATCGGAACTTATTTTATTCTTTTTTAATTTTCTTTTTTTCTTTTTAATGTAATTTCCTTTTAATTTTTAGATGTTATTCTTTAAAAGGAATTTTTTTTTCAATTTCATTTAATTTTTAGGAACTTTTCGTTAGCTAAAGGTGAGAAGGTGCCAAGTCCATTTTTTTAATTATTCAGGAGAGAGGTAAAATCGATGTAGTTTGGCATTATCTGTCATTCTGCATCAAAAACTAGATTTTGAAAAAAAGTAGACTTGGCTTCTTTTCACCTTTAGGGAGCGTTATTAATTTTTTTCTTTTTAAAATACATTCATTAGTTTAATTTTCTTTTAATTTTTAGATTTGTTGTTTAAAGAAGAGAAATGTTTTTTGTTTTAATTTCATTGAATATTTAGAAACTCCAATATTGTTTTTTTACTTTTTTAAAAATTAATTTGTTTTCGTTTTGTTAATTTAATTTTCTTTTAGTATTTAGATTTTATTGTTTTAAAAAGAATAAAAATATATTTCTTTGTTTCATTTAATTTTGAGGATCTTATTATAATTTTTGTCTTTTTGTAAATTAATTTTAGATTTTGTTTTAAAAATAAAAATATTTCTTTTTTAATTTTTTAGTTAAGCACTATGTGTTTTAGTATTTATGACTTAAGTTTTTTCTTCTTATTAAATTTATAGATTTATTGTTTTAAAAAGAAAAAAAAATCTTTTAATTTTTTTAAATATTTTTATTAATTTTTACTTTATTTTCATTTTATAATTTTTTTCTTTTAAGTAATCTTTCGAAAGACAGTAAAGCGCTTTCAGTTTTCAGAATTGATAAAAGTCTTTCGAAAGACTGGCTAGTAAAAATTATTTTATAGAGTATTATGTTCGTAGTGTTACCAGATCAAATGACCTTTCGTGGTGTAGAACTCGTCCTTTTTCGCTTGCTCCAGTTTAGTGAGAAACGCTTTCCAAAAGCAGTTCAGACGTATATTTTCC